GGGAGGCAGTGGAAGACAGGAGGGCCTGGCGTGCTCTGGCCCATGGGATCACGAAGAGTCAGACATGACTTAACGACTAAACAACAGCAACAACAAAAATTAATCTCTGGCAGAGACGGGGTATTAACTGACCAATTGTATATACACTTACCAAGAGGTAAGCCACACTTAACTTCATTCTCAATACACATTCACATGATTGTGCTGTAAGCAGGACATCCTTGAGAAAGGAAGACAAAGAAAGCTACAATTCCTCTGCCAGTTCAGGAGATGTACAGATGGCTGGATGGAGGTTCTTTTTCATGCCTTCTCAGACAGATTCACTGAGATCCCATTGGATAGTGAAAACACACAATAAAATATACATTTGCTCACTTACCAAGTATAAGAAAAGGTGAATTTGCAGCTGTGATAACAAATGGAACGCCACAGAACAGCAGTAATCCAAAGCTGCTGACGACGGACAGACCTGCTGTTAGTACACCAAAAGATGCAACCCACGCTTTTGTTCGTACACAGTCTAGACTGTAAAACAGATTAAGAAGAACCTGACTGGAGTCAAGAGTTTCACGGTACATACACTTATCTACTTCCTTTTTGAACAAAATTTAAGAGTTTGGAAAAGTTACTTTTCTGGACTATTTATTTTTGCTAGACTACAGCTGATTTCCAAATCAAAAATTAACTGTTCCAAACTCAGATGCAGCTAGAACACATGTAGCTGTTGCATGTAATATTCTCCAAAACCACAAGAAATGGGAAAGTACTTAAATTTTCAGAATAACTCACATTCTCATAAATGGATCAAATATGTTTAGAGCAGGTTTGGGTAAAATCAGTGTTAATCAGACACTCCCAGGCTGGTTCGCTCTGGCGATTATGTCATCTGATTGCTGATAAAAGGAGTGAACCAGCCCATCCCCACAACAAATCAAACAATGGCCCAAACCCCCTCATGACCAATTTTGATCTTCTAGTCCCTTTCCCAAAATGTCTCTTCTAACACAAAAAGGACAGAGAAGTGGAACACGATGGGATGATGTCACATCTAGCTGTGCTGTGCTACATTTCTGTTAATAGGCAGAAATCCAAGTCAGCTATAGCTTCAAAGATGAAGGGATAGTGTGAATGATCTATGTATGGAAGGTTTCTGCCTTTAAGAGGGGAGACCCTCCCCCCCAATTATTCCTCATGTCCACTGATGTGAAGGAGGCAGTGTTATCTGTATGACTGCTGCGGCACAAACCACACCAAGGCTGATACGTAAAATGGTATGTAGATAGGAGCAGATGAAGACTAGCAGAAGAATGAATGATTGCATGCTAAACAGATAGCACCCCACTATACTCATGATCAGGATCCATGGATTCACTTATTCACTGGCTGAAAATACTAAATACCCCCACCCCAGAAATAACTACAGTATATGTATTACCAAGGCATATTGGCCAGAACTGGCCACTAGAAGAAGCCATGCAATATACAGAATTATTGGATACAGTACTTCTGTTTTTCAGCATCCTTGGATGTGGTGGAGGAAGCCATGCAATATACAGAATTATTGGATGCATCTGTTTTTCAGCATCCTTGGATGCGGTGGAGGATTGGCACTGATCCCCTGCAGATACCACAGTCCTACTGTATACAGATTACTGGCTATTTAGATCCTTCAAACATTTCCACTACAAATGCATTTTGCTTCTGGACAAATAAATCCTATTTGCACAGTTTTATATATGTGTTTTGTCTGCTTTTGATTTACTATGATTAGCATAAAAATGGTGGATTTCTTTTAATGCGAGTACAGATTTGTTAATTCAGAAGGGTGCTTCCAGACCAAGCTTCTAGTTTATGTTTATTACAACTAACTGCTTATCACACAGTAATTCATCATTCATCAAACTCTTAGATGATCATTCATGTAACTTTCATCTTGGAGGCTACACCTGACGTGAATGCCTACTTATTAAACGAAATGAACTACAGCACTGCTAGAGTTTATGGGAAGTCCAGATGACATTCAGTCTGCTGCCTTTTCATGACGTCCCATTCCTTCTCTCTACTTATCAACGAAAATCAATCAAGAATAACTTGCAATTATGAATGGTAAGAGTTGTCTGTCCAAAAAAAAGATAAAACATGAAAAAAGTATTTAAAAACAAAAGAAAAACAAAAGGAATAAGAGGTTTTCCCCTTCCTTTGCCCTGACTTAAAGAGCATTAACATTGGCAAAATATTACCTTGAACATGACATGATTGTAAAAAATATTGTCAGAAAATATGTGACAGAGATCAAGGGGATCACATCCTTGGCGAGTTTCTCAAATTCTTTCTGTCTGGACAGTGAGGTGAAATAGGATACCTGGAAGGTTGGGAATGGAGAGAGAGAAAGGGGGGGGGAAGAGAAGGAAGGTGTATTACTATATATTTTGTTTTGTGAGATGTATCTGAATGCTCACATAAAATATTGAAACTTGAAAATAACTCCTCTTTTTCCATTTCTACTGAAACCACTGCTACACCATATTCTAAAACAAACTGCTTGCTGCTGCTTTTCCAGATTTTAATAATCTTCTTAAACCTCCTTATCAAAGGATGTAGAAGACTGTGTTAGTCTGTGCAAGCATTATAGATAAAAAATAAAAAGTTAAAAACAGAAAGAAAAGAACAAATATCAAAGGATTCCATGGTTGCAATATCCAGGCAAAAAGTACGAGAGTGGCCTGATTTTTAAAGTTTCGCCAGTCTCTGTGGCCAGCATCTTCAAAGGACAGCACAGAGTGCCGGCCACAGAGACTGGCGAAACGTTAGGAAGAACATCCTTCAGAACAGGGCCAAAGAGCCCGAAAAACCCAGAACAACCATCAAACTGAAAAGAGTTGCTACAACGAAATAAGTGCAAATATGAAGATAATAAAGTTGATTAAGCTTCACGGAAAGGTACACTGGGATCGTTTTTTCATCAAGTGTGAATGGTCTCAAGAAAGCCCCTCCGTACCCGGATAGAGGAGAAGTTCAAGGAGTCGAGGACGGCCGGGATGCGCTCCAGAAAGGCGTCGAGCCATCGCCGGCTGTCCTCTCGCCTTTGAGCGTCGTCCTCCTGCAAGTAGTAGACGAGGCGCAGGGCTTTGGCGGCCAGGAGGGGGCGCGCCGGTCCGTCTCCGGGGCCGAGCGTGACGCCCCCCAGGAAGAAGCCGAGGAAAAGGCGCCCCTGGAAGAGCGGGAAGGTGAGGCCGGGCAGCAGCGCTTCTATGCCCGCGGCCTGGCCTNCGCCGTCCGGAGCCCCCGCACGGCCCCGTCGAGCGCCAGCAGCTGGGCGAAGGCCTCCCTCGTGAGGAGCGACCCCGTCCCGCCGGCGGCCACGGCGATGAAGGAGGCGAAGGCGCCCTCGGTGGCGAGTCTCTCGGCCGAGAAGCGCCGGGCGTCGTCGGTGGGGAAGCGCGCCTGGACGAAGCGGCGCTCGCCTTTGGCCGGGCCCCCGACCGGCGTGAACTGGCCCTCGAGGTCTTTGGCCTCGCGGCGCCGCAGGAAGACGAAGCCGGAGCCCAGGGCGGCCGAGAGGGCCAAGGGCAGCAGCAGGAAGGGCCACGGGTGGACGCCCACCAGGGCCCCCAGCGCCCG